GGTGGGAGGGTGTTTGTATCCACAAGCTGAACATGCTGAAGTATTTTGTGGATTGCATTGCCAAATAACTGGCACTTCAGTTCTTACCTTTTCATGAAGGTGACCATATACATGAGGCGAGGTGTGCAGATCATTGGTTGGTCTGTAAGGATGGCTCTCATGGCCTGTTTCACACAGTATTCAGGTTTCAAGGGTGGAAGGAAAGGCTCAATTTCTTTTCTGAAACATTTGATTAAGACAGATTAATATGGCACATGAAGGACCACAGACACCAGTGAACAGTTCATTAACTCAATTTCTTTGGAAGTTTTTTATATTCACTGTTAAGTTACAAAGACTAATAGTTCAAAATTTGCATTGCCTGTGTACAAAAGAACAGAAGACCATGAATTCAGAAAGTCTCTTTTTGAGTCTAGCACTAACATATACTAAAGCAGATACAGTATTTAATACTTTTATGGTAACACTTGAGTTACCTTTAAATACTTTTATGACACTACAAGCACAGAGCAGAAGGAGAACTCTACTCACCTGATCCTGCACCCTCTAAACATTCCTGTATCTACAAGATAAGGGCAAACTAAAGTAGTTTTGATTCCATCCTTTTCAGCAGCCTTCAATTCATGGCTCAAAGACTCATGGAAGCCTACAGCTCCAAATTTGCTGGCACAGTAATCCTGCATTGGCAATGAATGAAGCAGAAAAAAAAAAACAACAACAAACTTAAAAAGGAAGGATATGAATGATGTTCAAAGCAAGCATACCTGAGGTGATTCTGCACAGATTTTCAAAGCAACAACAAAAGACACCCACTGAATAGAGCATCACATCAACTCATTTATCACTTTACTTTTGAGGTAATTAGCACAGAATCATGAAAGCAGAAAAGCTGAATGTAGGAGGATATTACCTGGATTCAAGTCTTTGAATCAGGCAGGCTTACATGACAAGTTACTCCAATTACCAGTTTGCTTAATAATAAATGGTGCAACAAAGGAATGAGAATACCTAATACTACCTTGGGTCAGATTTGAAAAAGCTGGTATGGCAGGGCATAGGTGTAATAATCATAAAGGTGTTATTTTTTAGGCTTGTTTCAACAGAAGAAACAAGCAAGATTTGAGTTTTTCTATGAGATACACAAATAACTCAAATGCTACTGCTGTCTATGCAATTATTAATTGTTGCTGAACTTAGTGTGTTTTCAGACGTGTCCGTCTCTGTTGGTGGTCACACCCAGTGTAGGAAATTCTTGTAGCTTTCTCAAGACAGTAAACATTATAAAAAGCCCCAAGTTAAACCATCTTCATTCATTTATGTTATGAAACACTGCAGTTTAAGGTCCTGGATTAAGCCTTACCTATACACAAAGAAGCCTATGCTTATGGGGTAATATGACCATTATTGTTTTAGACACCTTAATTTTCACTAATTCAGTACTTTTTGTTCACGCTTGCATTTGTATTAATGACTCAAAAAACAAGACAAGCTCCAATCCTAACCTATTTTTATGCACCAGAAAAGTCTCACAAACTGGAGTTCTCAACCAGCTGCTAGTGAAGCAGGTGAGCCATATATTCTAGAAGGTTTTCAGTCATTTCCTCATAGAAACACGAAACATTACTTTTGAAACCCCTTGCCTTTGGCTTCAAGCTTAGCACTGAAATGCTTGACATGAGTAGGCTGAATGGCACATTTCAAGTTCCTAGATTCACCAGGTAACTCAAAGATCACCTGGCATTCTAAAACCCTCAGTCATCCTAGGCTTTCACTCTAAGTGCCAATTCCACCATCCAAGGAATGAATGCAATGCCTACCCAAACCCTGTGGCTCCCACTCACAGGGAGCCATGCACTGATATGGTACTCAGCACCATAACCTCCAAAGATCTTTGAAGATTTGACCTCATTTCCTCTAGATGATAATATTAAAAAACTTATCTTTGGCAAAAAGTGCCAAATTTTTGTTCATTATAGGCTAACAAACCTCAACTCCAGCAGTACTGAATAACCCCAAGGAGCTTGCAACTGTCACAATGTGTCCATGGTTCATTTCCAGCATCTTGGGAAGGAAGGCTTTAGTGGTCTACAGAGAAAAAAAAAAAGTACATTTAAACAACTGATGCAAAAAAACACTTCATGAACAAATTACATTAATAATGAGTTCTCAGAATTTCTCAGTTTATTATCAAGAATATAGAAATACAATCATTTTACAGGTTTTGAACTTGAGTTTGTCAAAAATGCTAACAGAAAATCTGCAACTTGTTTGTGAATCCAGAGAGCAAGGCAGCAAAGACTGTATCTCCAGAAATCCTAAGGGTTAAAGGATCAGTTGAGCTCAGACGTGTTTATTTTTCCAGAAGAGACTAGTTATCAGGAGGAGATAATTTGACCTTAAAATGGAAGCCACAATTTTTAAAGACAAAAAAAGAAATGCAAAGTGTTTAATTATACCATTCAGCACATCTCTGTTGAGACCAGTACCAATTATCAGTTCTAATTATTGATCAGTTCTAATTATCTAATAAAAAACAACAATTAGAACTGATTATAAGTTGGATATTGCTAGTTTTATCCAAGTAACTTATCACCTTAGGCCATTTTTATTAAATTAAATACTACAGGTATGGTTTTTGCTGTTGTTACTTTTTACCTACAATAGAGTGAACAACTTCCAGTTTAAATTACTCCCTATCCTTATTAGCATCCATAGTATTTCTATAGTTAAAAAGACCTTTGTTACTAATTCCTTAAAAGTTTAAAAATAAAACAAAATAAATCCAAAGCAAGTCTCAAGATGAAACTTTAAATTTGACCTTCCAATTTTTATGTTTTGTTTATAACAAAGTTTGTTTCCTTTTAAAAACCTGAATCAGAGTTAATACCATTAAAAAATTAAGTTTCAAGCAACACATTGAAGGTACTTGCTGGAAGATCTCCCCTACCAGAATACCTATCTTTGTCATATCTCTTCTGAAGCTGACTCAACACTTCTCCATTTTAAATAAGTATTAAGCAGAGCACCATATTTACAACAAAAATCAATGCAGTGGTAAAATGGTATGTGCAGTTATGAAATACTTCAGCTTTTAGGTTGTCAGTGTACTATATGAGATCACTTTTAAATTGCCCAAGAACTTCAGACAATGCTTTTTAATCACAAACATGCCTAGTTAACATGGTAATCTATTAGTGACAGAGCTAATAGTCTATTCCAACTCACTCCATGAATGTTTTATCCTCCCGAAAAACTACTCTTCACTACTCTTCCCATGTAATTCGTATCCCAACTCAGAGCATGCAAATGCCCCTTAAGTGTTTCCTACTTGCTGAATTGTTGGTCTGAGTCTTCTCAGCTGCATTCTTAAAAAGACATGCAAACTACAGCTGAATCCATCTAATTCCATTCTTATGCTGTCTGCATTTTCCAATCAAAGACGTCAGGACAGTTTTGCTCTAATGATTTTCACATGTTCTTGTACAACATTTTTGCCTGCAGGTGTTAAATGACTAATCCAGACCTCCTAACACCACACAAAAGAGTGTTTTCACTGGACAGCTGGCAGATGATAGAAGATTAACAGACCTCCTGACTCCTTGCCTTTTCTACTGTTGATTCATACAACTCCTAGATTCTGTCATAACTACATAACAAAGCTAATTATAAAAAATAATCTGAGAGCAAGCTGCCTTGCATTTGTTTCTTTCCTCATGGCAGGGATCTCTAAACCTCTTACACAGAGCCTTGGACAAGAATTCAGTTTGCTGTTAAACTAATCTGTGCCAGGCACACAAAGTTTCAGCCTCTCTTCCCATGTTGCATGGCAACAAAGCCCAGTCATCATCGGGCAGCGCCACCCGAAAAAGAGGCTTCGCTTGGACGGCACTGAAGTTTTACAGAGTGCTCTTTATTTGCAGCCTGCCTTGCACGCTACGACACCAACAGCGTGTAGGCTAACCCTGATCCTCCGTGCTATCCCTGTAAGACACCCATGCTCCCAGCTCAGTCCTGCTAAACAATTCACTCCACTCCCCAACATTTGTCAGCTCCATCAGCAGTTTCCACTTACATCTCAGCTTATCTGTCCACATCACATTGGAATGACTGATTGCCACCTCACATTGCCAGAAAGCTTGATAATGCAGACTGAAGCTCTGGCTGCAAACCACAGCAACTACAGAAAAAAAGGGGCCTTGAAGTTTGTCTTGGGGGAAAGAAAGGAGGGAAAGAAGCAGAAACAATTCTTTTTTTTTTCCTACCACTTTCAAGGCATGAATCAGTTTTGCCTTCCAAGAGATGAACAGGCAAGTGCACCAAGCTACTGTTTTTACTATGGCACTGCTTTTTTTCCCCATTTTTTTTTTTGGTTGTTTTTAATAAGGTGAACTATAACTATGTGCTTGTATTTATGTTTAGCTTGGCTGAGGAACAATTTTCAAACTAATATGTATATATATAAACATGCAACATAATCAGAATAGTCAATTTCAGAAAGTCCATTCAACTATGTTATTTCAAAGCATAAAAATTATAAAAATTGAGTTTTCAGAACTTGTAGCTAAAGCAACCCATTTTCAACCAGATGAAATTGGCACATGACAAACACAGCTTGTTGAGGACGCTTTTGGTTGACGTCTTCAGCATCTCAAGTGCAGACTTGAACAACTCCCAGCAGCAGAACTACAGTCACTTCATGTAAGTAATCTCTTAAAGGCCATTTATGGCTAAATTGGAAAAAACCACAGCTCCTCTGCTTTAAAGACAGTGGATTTCATGGAAATCCTTGCATGAGAACTCAGTGTTCTGAGACAGCCTGTTCAGAGCAAGCCCCTGTATTTTGTCATGGCATATTATCCCACAAATCCACTCAAAATCTGAAGTTGAGGGAGTCTATAAAGATAGCTTAACTATCATATGTAGAGAATTTAGCAGTCAGCTATCAACATCTCCACTAAATGGATGTCAGAGAAAGTCATCTCGATTGCTGCCACCCTCCAGCCATCTGCAGCAGCTGGGAGTCAGCACTTGAAAACAAGCACTGTCAGAGGCAGACACACCCTACCGGGGGATCCATTTCCAGGCTCAGAGTAAAGGCTTGCCCACTGCTCCTCCCAGCTTCCTCTCGCTGGGAAAAACAATCCCAAAGTGAAGTTATTCTTTCGTAGTATAAGCAATCCTCAAATAAATCAGTGTTCTTACTGAGCTTCTGGCACAGCACACCTCCTTGATCAAAGCAGCTTCCTCCATACTCTGGTTCCCAGTTTTTCTACCCGTTACATAAACCAGATCAACCTAGTTTCTAGTTTCTTTCAGCTTCAGCTACATCTGCCTACCAGACCTGAAATCTTCTGTGTGCTTGTCGTGCTGCTGACAAACTAGTTAAGAGTTTGACTGGTTGTGGCAGTTTCATAGGGCAAGATGCCTCCTGGGTGGCCTTCCCATCTGGAGTTTGTCTGAACAGGTACACAGACCACATTAGTCTTCTGAGGTGATGCATGGACATGCTAATCCTCCATTAAAAAAAAAATAAATTACAAGACACCAAGCAAAAGATGGGTTTTGTCCATGGCATTAGAGGTCATGAACTAGGCCTCCAAAATAATTCAAATCAAGTCAAGTGGTTTAATCAAACTATCTGCCTTTTGGTTTGATCCTTGAAGCTTCAGTTTTACCTCTCACAGCTGCAGAGGAAGACATTTAACCAAAACACAGAAGTATTTAAAGTCAGAGCTGGGTCATTTATTCATGACAAACACACCACAGTTTTCAACACTGAGGAGAAACCAGTAAGTAGAATATAGAGGATGAAAGAAATTGTGGTGCATCAGGGTGAACAGTCCAGGATGCAAGTTAAGCATCTTCTTCACCCAAAATTACCTTTTTTTTTAAGGAAAAAAAAATCCCAACAAAAAAGCAAAAAGCGAACCCCAAAAGCATAGTGAAAACACCAATTTTCTAACCAGCAGTATACTTTGGATAGACAAACTAGCTAGGATAGACAGAACATATAAAACTGTTGTGAACAGAGTAGAGCTAGTTTTTCTAACTAGTTCAGCCTTTAAGTTTTTTTTGGAACCAGGAGATCCATTTCTAATCTTCTGAGCATTTTCCTCTATGCTTTTGAATATACCAATAAGACCAAACTATTCCCAGTAGCTGTAACCAAACTTCTATTTCATGTGCACACAGCTTAAATGACTTATTTCTCACAAGTGTGAAACTGAACAAGCACTTACATGTCACTTCATAGCTTTCGTAATCTGTTCTCAACATTTTGGTTTACGGCAAATTAACTTCTAACAGTCTAACACTTCTTCCCTCCCCTTCCCCAAATTCTTTAGTTCCATTCTTAATGAAACAAAACTCCAAAGATTGTGCAACACAAAGAGCAGCACAGCTGCAATGTCAAGACAAATTAGTCTAAATACAGCAAATGAGAATATGAAGAAATACTGCGTTTGGGAAAGTGATTCTTTTAATTAAATTTTGGATTAATTATTTTTAAAGAAGAAAGCAAGCATCCACAGAAAACAATGTTAGCTGTATGCAGCTCAAAACAATGGATACTGAACGCAGAAAGCACACCAAAATAGAAAAGTATGTGCTACCCCATGTTTAGAGGATTGCCTTCATAGCAAAGAATGAAATAAACAGGTACCAGCACACAGGGTCCTTTAAGTTTCTCTTTTTCAATATAGTAAATTTCTTCATACTTTCTGCCTTCAGTCAACAGCCTTTTAAAACTACTTTAATGGCATAAAAAGGCTGTATTACTGTAAGGTTGAAATACCTTTATGCCAAAGTATATATACCAAAGCTTATTTTCTACACAGCTCCTTCAGATAAAGAGCATGGTTTTTTTTGAGGCTCATCAAAAGGTGAATTTTTACATCACTAGTTATACACAACAGTGGTGTACTGGTATAACAGAGAAAACATCTTCTCCCAAGCCACAGCTATTCCTGACTGCCAGAGCTGCTGCCTAACAACACAAAAGAGTGCACTTTTGGGTAAATGTATTGTTTCATCTTCATGTTAAAAGCTATTCAGGTAAATCCAATATGAAATCCAATATGAAAAAT